CAATAAAGTTACTAGGCCAACAGATAACAGGTGAATCATGAAAGATACTTAAAGGAAAGCCTAAAAAATAAAAAGAACAGGGGCACCTGGCTAGCTCAGTTGGTAGAGCATGTGACTCTTGATCTTGAGGTTGTAAGTTTGAGCCCCATGTTGGGTGTAGAGATTACTTAAAATCTTTACAAAAATAAAAGCAAAGCAAGGATTAAACATAACCATGATAATTACATTAAGTGTAAATGTTATAAATACCCCAATTAAAATTCAGATTACTTATGAAATCTGAGTACAAGATTGTACTCAGTACAAAATACAAGATGAAACTATATATTGTCTACAAGAAACACTAAAGAAAGGATGGGAAAAGATATACCATGTGAAGACTAATAGAATACTGGAGTACATATGTTAGTATCAAACAAAATACATTTCTAACAATATTATAAGAGATAAAGGGAATCATTTCATAATGTTGAAAAGTCAATTCATCAGAAAGGCCTAACAGTCTTAAGGTTTTTTTGCACCTAAAGTCAAAGCTTTGAAATACAGGAAACAAGAATTTCATGTATCCTTACAGAAATTGACATCCATAATTACAGATGGAAATTTCAATATAAGTATCTCTATCAATAATTGATGGAACAAATAGACAAAAACTAGTAAAGATATAAAAGAATATAAAGGAACAATAATAACTTGTATTAGTGCACTTTAATCACATACTCCATGCAACCTCAGCTGAGTAAATGTTCTTTAGAAGTGCACATGAGGGGCACCTGGTTAGCTCAGTGAGCTCAGCAACCGACTTCAGCTCAGGTCATGACCTCATGGTTCCTGAGTTTGAACCCCACATGGGGCTCCACACCGGGAGTGTGGAGTCTGCTTGGGGTTCTTCCTCTCTCCTCTCTCTGCCCCTTTTCCACTCAAACCTTCTCTCAAAATAAATAAACTTAAAAGGTGTGCATGAAACATCACTAAGAATATCTCCTGGGACAGGAAACAAGTCCCAATAACTTTAAAAGGATTCAGGTAACACAAAGTATTTTGACCAAGATACCAAAGTATCTTTGACCATAATGGAATAAATCAGAAATCGTTAACAGAAAGGTATATTGAAAAATGTAAATTGTCTGAAAATTAAATGACACACATCTGAATAACCCAGGGTAAAAGAAAACGAAAGAAGATATTTTCAACTGAGTGAAAATACAACATTTCAAAAACTGTAGGGTGTACCTATAGCAGTACTTGGGGAAATTTGTAGCCCTAAATACCTATATTAGAAAACTTTCAAGTCTAAACTCAAAGTAAACAAAAGTCAGGAGGTAATAAAAAGTGAAAGTCAATGAAATAGCAAACTAAAAACAAGAAGATTAGTGAAACCAAAAATATTTTGGAAAGATCAATAAACTTGATAAACCTCCAGCCTAAAAGTTGACAAACAACAGCCTATAGGACAAATCTAGCTTGCTACCTATTTTTGTACAGCCTATGAGCTAAGAATGGCTTGTATGTTTTTAAAAGGTAATTTTAAAAGGATAGATGGAGACGGGGGATGCAGAGGAGGAAAGGGGACAGTTGGAAGAAGAGAAACAGTGGCAACTACCACA